CCACCGATGGCTGAATTCATGGATGCAGAAGCCATGGATAAGTATATATTTAAAGGAGTGCCCAGTGGCTCAGTGGGTTAAACCGCTGAGCTGCTTAACTTGTTGACCGAAAGGTCGCAGGTTCGAATACACTGAGCGAGGAGAGCTTCCGCTGACAGCCCCAGCTTCTGCCAACCTAGCAGTTCGAAAACATGCAAATGTGAGTAAATCAATAGGTACAGCGCTCCATGCAGTCATGCCGGCCATATGACCTTGGAGGACTGTACGGACAACGCCAGCTCTTCGGCTTAGAAATGGAGATGAGCACCCCCCCCCCCCCGGAGATGGACATGACTGGATAATGTGAGGGGACAACCTTACCTTTTTAAATAACAGTGGAAAGAACAGAAGTCACTTTTATCCTTTTCTGTTCTGTTTTTGTATTATATGTTGGCCATGTTCTATTTTACACCTTTTGAAAAATTGTCAAATATAATGTGAGATGGAAAAACAAGGGAGCCACAGGTGGACTTTGCAGTGAACACACCTGGCATGTTGCAAAGTCTTGACGCTGAGCTTGAAGCTGGCCCTTTGTGCTTCCTGGGGTGCGTCCACACTGTAGAATTAATGCAGTTTGATCCCACTTGAATGCTATGGGATCCTGGAAGTTGTAGTTTGGCAAGATCTTTCGCCTACTCTGCCCAAGTCCATGCAGGTGTCTCACCAACCAACCAACCAACTCCAGGATTCCCTAGCATTGAACCATGGCAGTCAAAGTGGTACCAAACTGCGTTAACCCTCCAGTGTGGATGTACGCCGGCTCTCCTGCCTGGTGCTCTTACCTGTCCATGTCCCTCCTCAGTTGCTCGGCCACCATCTCTTTCAGCCTCTGCTTCTCCGAGGCTCCCCTTTCGCCGCCTTTCCTCCCCGCTTCTCCCCGATTCCCTGCAGGGCCTTTTGGGGCCCCTTTTCCCGCACAGCGCGCCATGGAGCCAGAACCAACCCGGCAAGGCAGCACCTTTGAACTCCCGTCTGTGGACATGGTTTGATATTGCCCGACGGTCCCTTAGCGTCGCCGCTCAAGCGCAGGCTTTGTCGGATCCGCCAACGCCTTCTCGCCTTTCTACGCCGGCAAAGGCAGGGACCGTCTTAAAAGTATTATCTCACCAAGGGACGTTGGTTCTATGGCGGAAGCCTCTTCTGTTTGGGTAATGCCCACCTATCCGTTCTTCTCCTTGCGCCACTGTAAGCAGTCGACCAATCAGAGTCGAACGAATCTCCAAGTCCCGCCTTCATCTTGTTTACTAGTCCCGCGCTCACATGGGAGAACTGATCTCTCATTAAGGGGAGGAAAGCTGTGTGTCTTGTGATCCAGGAGACGCACCACAAGGCACGCTCGCCTTTGGGGTGCAACTGTGTAGAATTAATGCAGATTGAACTGCCATGGCTCACTATTATCCAGGGATGTGTAGTTTAGTGAAGCACCAGCACTCTTGAACATGAGTGAAAGACCTTGCAAAACTACACCTCCCAGGATTCCATAGCATTGAGCCAAGGCAGTGTCCAAATGAAATAATTCTGCAGTGTGGAAGCCTTTAAATTTCCAACTACATTCTTCATCAAAAGCTATGGAAGCAACTGTGTTTCCCAAATTGGTACATGTTTGTCACTATTTCTTACTTGATGTACATCTCCAGTGCATAACAGCATGGCATCGCTTCCACTGCTATCCAGGGATGTGTAGCTTAGTGAAGTACCAGCACTCTTGAACATGAGTGAAAGACCTTGCAAAACGACACCTTCCAGGATTCCATAGCATTGGGCCAAGGCATTGAGTCAGAGTTGGAAGAGACCCCAACTGCCATTCAGTCCAACCTCCTGCCATGCAGGAAAACACAAAACATTCTCAACAGATGGCCATCCACCTCTGCTTGAAAACCTCCAGAGAAGGAGACTCCACTACACCCCGAGGCAGCATATTATACTTCCAAACACCTCTTACCTTCTTCTTAGATGATCCCTCGTAGCTCAAGGATGATTGTCCTCCAAGTGCGGTGTCCTGGTGGTGGGTACATAGGTGGCTGCGGAACCTTATTCTTGACCCACATGTTCTCCCGCAATGAGGGCATCCGTTTCCAGATGGAAGGCAGTCACGGTCGGAGTTGGCTTGGCACGCCTTTCTCTTGGCAAGTTTTTCTTGGCAGGTTCACAGCTTGGGAGTGATCCTGGACTCACCGCTGAGCCTGGAACCCCAGGTCTCGGCGGTGGTCAATTCAAACTTGTGCGCCAGCTGCACCCGTACCTTGGGAAGTCTGACTTGGCCACGGTGGTCCATGCTCTGGTTACATCCCGATTAGACTACTGCAACGCTCCCTACGTGGGGTTGCCTCTGAAGACTGGCCGGAAACTTCAATTAGTCCAACGAGCGGCAGCCAGATTACTAACAGGAGCAGGGTACAGGGAGCATACTACTCCTCTATTGCATCAGCTCCACTGGCTGCCAGTTAGCTTCCGGTCACAATTCAAAGTGCTGGTTTTGACCTATAAAGCCCTAAATGACTCCGGCCCAGTTTACCTGTCCGAACGGATTCTCCCCTATGAACCATCAAGGTTACTAAGATCTTCCGGAGGGGCCCTGCTCTCGGTCCCACACCCTTGCAATCGCATCTGGTGGGGACAAGGGACAGGGCCTTCTCGGTGGTGGCCCCTCGGCTTTGGAATTCCCTCCCACCAGAAATTAGATCTGCTCCTTCCCTCCTGACCTTTAGAAAGCTAATAAAAACCTGGCTTTGGAATATGGCATTCGATGATTGAGTCAATAACCCTTGTCCACATGGAAGGATGGCGATGAATTGTGACTATTTGACAACTTGGCTTGTGTAATGTGATGATGTATTTTATTGTATTTTATATTTTAATGTATAATGATGATGCATTGTGCTGTTTTTTATATTACTGTATATGAACACATGTTGTGAACCGGCCTGAGTCCCTCCTTGGATAAATGAACACGTTGTGAACCGGCCTGAGTCCCTCCTATAAATAAATAAAGAAATAAATAACTTTTCTCTTTCGCCCTCCATTTCTGCCTCTTCAAATTCTGCAGTACTGCTGGTCACAGCTGACCTCCAGCTGGAGTGCTCAAGGGCCAGGGCTTCCCAGTTCTCTGTGTGTATGCCAGTTTTTTAAAAAAATTAATTTTTATTAGAAGTACCAACGAAACACATCAACACACATCAACAACATGGAACACAGTAGATGAAATTGTAGATAAAATAATTAAAAGAGAAAGAAAGAGAAAAGAAAGAAAAAAAGGGAAAAAAGTAACCAGCATAAACAATCCCTACACACCAACATAAATATAGTAAATATTATTCCTGTTACTTCCAGACCGCCTAATGTGGTAGTACTTATTTCTTTACACTGAATTCCTTTCCATTTATATATGTCCCTGCACATATAACTTATGTTTGGTCCTAAGACTTCTTTATTCCGGGAGGAAATATAGACAATCTTAAATATGTATATGCTGTAGTGATCAAAGAAAACTGGTTTAAGATCTTTTATATGTGGTACCTAACCCCAAAAAACTTAGCCAAATATAGCAAGGGAAAGATTAGTAATAAATATTGGAAATGCAGGGAAAACACTGGCAACTTTATGCACCTATGCTGGGAGTGTAAGATTATTAAGAAATTTTGCTATAAAATATACAAAAATATTTTTAAAAAATCTGCAACTAAAATTTGAATTCAGACCTGCATGCCACAGTTTTTAAGGTTGGCTTTGAGCCCATCTTTAAATCTCTTTTCCTGTCCTCCAACATTCTGTTTTCTGTTCTTCAGTTCGGAGTAGAGTAACTGATTTGGGAGATGGTGATCGGGTATTCGGACAACGTGGCTGGTCCAGTGGAGTTGATGGCGGAGGACCATCGCTACAATGCTGGTGGTCTTTGCTTCTTCCAGCATGCTGACATTTGTCTGCCTGTCTTCCCAAGAGATTTGCAGGATTTTTCGGAGGCAACGCTGATGGAATCGTTCTAGGAGTTGCATGTGACATCTGTAGATAGTCCACGTTTTGCAGGCATATAGCAGGGTTGGGAAGACAATACCTTTATAAACAAGCACTTTGGTATCCTTACGGATGTCCCAGTCCTCAAACACTCCGCTTCATTCGGAAGAATGCTGCACTTGCAGAGCTCAGGCCGTGTTGTATTTCAGTGTCAATGTTGAATTTGTGGAGAGGCGGCTGCCAAGGTAGCGGAAATGGTCAACATTTTCTAATGTTACACCATTAAGCTGTATTTCTGGCGTTGGAGAGGGATTGGCTGGTGACTGCTGGAAGAGCACTTTGGTTTTCTTGATGTTCAATGACAGGCCGAGCTTCTCGTATGCTTCTGCGAAGGTGTTTAGAGTAGCTTGTATGTCTTCTTCTAAATGCACACAGACGACGTTGTTGACATTGCCTGTGCACACCGCTTTTACCACCAGGAATTCCTTTCTAATGTTTAGGTGGAATCTTTTACTGCAATTTGAATCAATTGCTCTATGTCTTAGTCTCCAGGGCATCTGAAAACAAGCTTGCCCCCTCCTCAAAGTGACATCCTTGCAGATACTTAATCATAGCTACCATGTCCCTTCTCTGTAGTGTAGATTAATATAATCCAGTTCAAAGCAGATAATATGGCAGGGTTGAAGAGGCCTTAGAAGGGGCCTTGGTGTAGCCCTTGTTTTCTTGGGAATATGGGCTACACAAGTAGTCCAATCATCTCTTTCTATTCATTCATAAAAGTGAGAAACAAAATAGTATCCATCACTTTGGAAAGCTGAAAACACCCTTTGTGTGTTTTTAATTGTATTGCTTTTTAAGTGTGAGCCAATTTAGGTCTCAAACCTGAGGAAAAAATCACAACAATAACAACAACGAGAATTTCCAAAGTGACATGACTGTCAAGCTCGTTCTTAGTGGATACTTCATCTTTCCTACCACTAATAAAATAAATTTCACCATAAAGAGCTTGATACAGGGCACCACATCAGTTGCAGTTTATTAGAACGAGGCAAATACTAGGACACACAGTCATGACCAGAGTTCAGCATTCTCTATTTTAGTTTTTGAAACAGTGTGAATATACATCCTAGATATTTTTCAGTGTACACTACCGCACAAGCAGCTATCAACGTAGTACAATTATTTCTTAGTCATTATTTTATGGTCTCAAATGTGCCCAGATACATTTCGTTTTCTTTAGAGCTCTGTTAACATTTTAATGGTAAAATATAGTTAAAAAAATCTCAACCAGTAGAATGAAAATTGATCATCATACCCCTAATAACATCTTTTACTCCTGGTACCCCTGCACGAAGTCATCATTATAAATTGTAAAAGGCACCACACATTAGAATCTTAACGCAAGTGTGTAACCAAAACTAAGCAACTCTCTATGAATTCCTTATTGTACAAGCACAAACATTTTAAGGCAAGTGTCTCATGTGCAAAATACAGAATACAGGTAAAACCAACATTACTGTTACATAGTCTTACGCCACCTTCTTGTGATAACATTGGCATCATTACATACAGTACATTGAAAACATTTTCTCTAGCAGAGCTCATCCTAAGGTTGGCTGCAAATAGGCTCTGATCACAATTAACTTTGAGCTTTGAACATTTAGATTGTGCTGGCGATAACGGTCACTCTCGTTTTCTTGACTCTTCTTTTAGAAAAGTCCATATCAACTTGTTCACAATGTCAGGCTGATCCTGTTGGAGCCAGTGGCTTGCCTCAGACAGAATAGTTAGTCTAAACTGATTTTTGACATAAATCCTTGTGATTTCTGCCATCTCAACATCCAGAAAGGGATCTTTTTCTCCCCAGAGTAGCAGGGTAGGCATAGTGACTTCATGGTGTTGCAGAGGCAGGCAGCTTAAAAAAATAAAATATTTATTAAATTATTTCAGAAATTATAATTATTGGACTATTTCATAGACAATGACTTCAATACAGCAAGGTGTACCCAAACTTCCATCTGCAACCAGTGAGGATACAGGTACATATCCATATGTGCTCCACATGTTTATTCAAGACATATTGAATAACTGGGACCCATCTCTCAATATAGATAAAAACAAGAACCCCTGGACAAGGTCCCTGGTGTTGGATCACCCCCACCCCCATAGTGATTATTTTAATACCAAGCACAAAAAGGTACTAGATAGCCTTCATCTTCTTGGAAATTAACATCATAATACTTTGCTTGCTTTAGACCAGCGTTTCTCAACCGTGGGGTTGAGACCCCTGGGGGGGGGGAGGTTTGCAAGAGGGTCGCCAAAGACCATCAGGAAACATCTATTTCTCTTAGGAACCCCTTTGGAGGAGAAGGCTGAAGATCTCGCTGCCTGTCCTCCTCTTCCTTTTTGGAAACAGATGGCAAATCCTCCCACCAAAAGCCCTCCTCCGCTGTGATTGGCTGGCCTCTCAGCCAAAGGGAGGGCTGTTTCTGAGATTCCAAGAGGGGAAGGGAGAGCTGGCGTGCTTGGCACATGGCAACGTGGTGCGCATGTGCATGCGAGGGAGAGTGTGTAAGGTTGGTGAGAGGCTCACGCCAGCAAGTCCCTTCAAGGTAGGGGGGTTCTGTGTGGGAAGTTTGGCCCAATTCTATTGTTGGTGGGATTCAGAATGCTCTTTGATTGTAGGTGAACTATAAATCCTAGCAACTACAACTCCCAAATGTGAAGGTCTGTTTTCTCCCAAACTCCACCAGTGCTCACACCTGAGCATATTTAATATTCATGCCAAGTTTGGTCCAGGTACATCATTGCTTGAGTCCACAGTGCTCTCTGGATGTAGATGAACTACAACTCCAAAACTCAAGGTCAGTGCCCACCAAACACTTCCAGTATTTTCTCATGGGAGTTCTGTGTGCCAAGTTTCGTTCAATTCCATCGTTGGTAGAGCTCAGAATGTTCTTTGATTGTAGGTGAACTATAAATCCCAGCAACTACAACTCTCTACTGACAAAATCAATACCCCTCCCACCCAACCCCTATCAGTATTTCAAATTGAGGCATATTGAGTATTTGTTCCAAATGCGACTGAAAATACATCTTGCATATTGGATATTTACATTACGATTATTAAAAGTAGCAAAATTACAGTTATGAAGTAGCAATGAAAATAATTTATGGCTGGCGGGGGCGGTCACCACAACAAGAGGAACTGTATTAAGGGGTTGCGGCATTAGGAAGGTTGAGAAACACTCTTTTAGACCTGCGTGCGACATGGTTCAGTCCTTCGTTCAACAGACTTGCAGGTTGTGTCTGTTCTCCATTTTAGACAACACTTGCCATCAGTTGAAGACACTGGCCTGAATCAAGTTGCTACTTCCAACAAGATTTCACCAGTTTAATGAAGGAAGTGTACACAGGTGTTTACTTAACAAGTTACTTCATTAGAGCTTACTTCAAAATACATATGCAGTGATCATATTTATTCTTTAAAAAATTATGTTGTCTATCTCAGAATCAAAAACCTTAGTTTCAACTATGTAACTCCAGATAGAGACTGGAATTATTAGCTTTACCCAAGAACATTATAATTACCTGAAAAGGTTTCTGTAGTGATTTATAGGACCGGTTAGTGCTCCTGGTTGGGAAAATACATATAGGTATGCTTCAATATCTTCTGCTGTCAGCCTAGAGCCTTTCTTTCCAATTCCACAAGACTGGCTCGTAAAAAGATTTTTCAGGGTCTATTTTTAAAAAAAAGTAAGTTAGGAAAAGATATGAATTCCTTAGCAAGCCTGTCAAAAATGCTGTCATATTATATGATAACATCTTAATTAAGGTTTCTTTCCAAAGGAAAGGAAAGGTATTTCTTTAGTATGCTTTGCTATCTTACCCTTGACACAGGCATGCGCGCATGCACGCACACACACACACACACACACACACACACACGACATCAAAAACCCACCAGTGAATGCTGTTAGATATGGCACTGAATGTCTAATCTCCATTCTATGAAATTCTGGGGTTTGCAGTTGCCAGAAAGAGCACAAATACAGTGGGATTCAAACTGAAACTTTGAGTATTTAGTGCTTCAGTTCCTACAAAGCTCTTGTAACTATAGTCCAAAACGTCTGGAGGACCACAGACTTCAGGACTCACTACTTTATTGTCTTGCCCTGAATCACAGCATTAAAGCTCTTTAGCTTGTGATCCTAAATCCATCCCCAAACTACAAATTCTATGAGTCCATAGGATAAACATTTGACAGTATAAGTCAGTGGTTCTCAGCCTGGATCCCCAGATGTTTTGGCCTTCAACTCCCAGAAATCCTAACAGCTGGTAAACTGGCTGGGATTTTGGGAGTTGTAGACCAAAACACCTGGAGACCCACAGGTTGAGAGCCACTGGATAAGTGATATCAAACTACTACAATTGTGCAGTGTGGACAAAACTAAACAGGAAATATCTCTGTAACAATGACAAGATCATATCAGCCATGTTCTTATTGCACACAGTTGTCAAGAAGCTAGAGAATTGTTAGGCAGCCCTATCATTACATCAGTCCCAAGAAGCTCTTCAGAGTCTACTGAATAGTAAATTATTCATATTAACAATATGATTCAAATGCAAATACCAGATTTTATGATTATTACATAATTTTCTCTAAAGCTGTAAATATTACTGATACATGTGATCTGCATTTTTATTTTTCTTGCAGTCAGTTGACCATAAAAAGCTTTGATATATCTGTCATCAATCCAAGCTACTAGCTTTTACATTATTTTCCTATTTTGCTTTAATAAACCAGCAGTTTTCTGTCATTCCTTCTATGTCTCATATTTAGCCTTGAATGCTGAAGTTCCTGAAATTCAAAGATGCATCTCACATACACCCGAGACAGAAATATTGGTAGGTGCCAGAAGAATCCTGCAATTTGCTGAAATCTATCAAAAGAACTGACATCCAAGGGATTCAAACATACATAAACTGCCAAAAATAGTGCTGCATAACCATGACTTACAGTCTTCTGAAATGGTTCCCATTTGTTCATTCAGATGGGAGGAACACATTCTATTTTTTAAAGTGTCCAACATCAGGATGCCCATCAAGCAAGGCCCTGGATATTGCTTTCTCATCTTACTACCCAGAAAAGAGTTCAGCAGTATCTAAATGTCTCCTCCTCCCCCTGCCTAGTGGCACAGAGGGTTAAATTGCTGAGTTGTTGAACTTGCTGACCAAAAGGTTGGCAGTTCAAATCTGGGGAGTGGGGTGAGTTCCCACTGTTAGCCCCAGCTTCAGCCAACCTAGCACTTCAAACACATGAAAATGTGAGTAGATCAATAGATACTGCTTCAGTGGGAAGGTAACTATGCTCCATGCAGTCATGCTGGCCACATGACTTTGGAGGCGTCTATGGACAACACTGGCTCTTTGGCTTAGAAACAGGGATAAGAACCACACCCCCCCCCCCCCCCCCCGCCAGTGTCAGACACAACTAAATTGAATCTCAAGGGGAAACCTTTACCTTTACCTCCTCCTAATTTTTAATAAATTGATTCCTTTTTGACATCAGTCTCAAAAAAAAGCCCCAATCAGCAGCCTCAGGGGTTCAACAGAATGCCTTATAGAGGCATTCAGAGACCCTGGTTGCCCATGGGGATAGGTTCTGCTCATCCCCTTTTAAATGAGGCAGGAAAACAGAAAAGTCCCCCGACAGGAGCAACCATAGACAATAATCCCATGCTTTGGTAAAAAAAAAAAGTCTGGATGCATAGGCTGATGAATGTCATTCCTCACAGCTTGAAAAGTAGGCAGAGAAAGGCTACTGTCTGACAGAGAAAAGAGTAGCTGAAGAAAGCAGGAGGAGCAGGAGGAAGCTTACAATAGAAAAAAACAAACAAACAATAACAAAAAACCTATTTAAAAGCCCAGCTACTACAACCAAGAAAAAAAAATAACCACACACTGACAAAATACAAGTCTACAATCCAAACCTTTTCTACCTTTTCACTTCAGTGTCTCTTAGGGACATTATTCCAAAGACTGTGACAATATTTTGTTGTGGTACCATGCTCATTTTAGGAACGAGCATCATTGCTTATGTAGCAGTATCAAGATGGCATCTCCTATGTACGACAGGGATCTTTTGGCAATCAGAGGGAATCCTAGTGTATGTAGGTCACCACCCATTCTTGGGGAAAATAGGGGATTTTTTTTTGTTTCAGGAGCAACTTGAGAAATTGCAAGTCACTTCTGGTGTAAGAGAATTGGCCATCTGCAAGGATGTTGTCCAGGGGACGCCCAGATGTTTTGATGTTTTACCATCCTCGTGGGAGGCTTCTCTTATATTCCATCATGGGGAGCCAGAGTTGGCAGAGGAAGCTCATTTGCACTCTCCTCGGATTCAAACCTGTGACCTATTGGTCTTCAGTCCTGCCAGTACAAGGGTTTAATCCATTGCGCCACCGGGGGCTCCATGGGAAAATATGAGATTGAGAGACTCCAAAAATAGGTCAAAATGTTGTCAATGGCTGTGAAATGCAGACAAAATATTGGGTGAAGGGACCAGGCAGGAGGGGAAATTCTCCCGCTGTATTCTGTGAAATAGCTTAATAGCTCAATCCTTAGCTCATAACCAAGTGTAAAGAATATGGCTACAATTAATAAGACATTCAAGTTACAAAAGGCTATGGCATGCATGCAATTTAGCACAAGTGCCATGATATGTTTGTATACCTGTCATTTCTACATAGTACATTTTTCTTAGTGATGCACACAAGTTCTCTTTCAAGACACACTCACCTTAAAATCATTTATTGTAAACATAAGTTCTGGAAACCATGGCATTTGGAAGAAGTAATAGTAGGCAGATTTAATCATTTGTGATGGCTGTCGCAGAATGAACTCTTGAAAAGAAAAGCACATGTGTGAATTAATGTGAAAAGCTGACAGTTTCAAATCAGGTCTAATATTCTTTTATAATTAAGATTTACTAACACCACTGTACAATTCTGTTCATGTTTACTTAGAATCGAGTTTCATCGTCGTGGGGTAGTCTAGCTCCTTGTAAATCTGTTTGGGACCGCAGCCTTCAAGTGAGATAGAGATTTCTGATACCTTGGCTCAGTCATTTATCAAAAAGGAAACGGCAGTCAAGAAATCAGAAAACTAGGATTTCGAAGGGCAGCTAGAAAGGAACTTGGCTAAAGATATATCACTGAATACCAAAGTCAAGATTGTACAAGATACTGTATTTCTGGTTTCTGTGCACGGATGTGAAAGCTGGACTGTGAAAAAAACTGATCAAAAAGAATAATTTGAAATGTGCTGATGGAGGAGGTTTTTGTGGATATCTTGAACTGTCAAAAACAAATAAATGGTCCTAAAGCAAATCAAGCCTGAATTCTCCCTCAAAGACAAAATGGCTAAACTGAAACTGTTGTACTTGGTCATGAGAAGACATGGTTCTCTGGAAACTACAATGATGCTTGGCAAAGCAGAAGACAGTAAGAAAAGAGGAAGACCCCCATTACAGGAGGATAGACTCAATAAGGAAGCCACAAGCCTGACTGCAAGATATGATGTCAGAGTGGCCTGGGGGTCATTCATTCATAGGGTCACCATAAGTTAAAGCTGACTTGATGGCAATTAACAAAAACAAACGACATTTGGAGACCCAGTTCAGAACCCCTTTTCTAGAAGACAGTAAGACCAATCATTTATAGCTCAAGGTCTGGTGATTTGAGAAGAAAATAAATCATGTATCTCCCCACTGCTTTTGAACTGTGGTGTTGGAGGAAAATTCTGAGAGTGCCTTGGACCACAGGAAGATCAAACCAGCCATATTCCAGGAAATAATGCCCAACTGCTCACTGGAGGGAAGGATATTAGAGGCAAAGAAGTACTTTGGTCACATAATAAGAAGACAGGAAGCTTGGAGAAGAGAAGGGAATATTGCTGGGGAAAATGGAAGGAAAAAGGAAGAGGCGCCGACCAAGGGCAAGATGGATGGATGTTATCCTTGAAGTGACTGGCTTGACCTTGAAGGAGCTGGGGATGGCGATGGCGAACAGGGAGCTGTGGCGCAGAGAACTTTGGCATGGGCTGGTCTCTGAGGTCAAGAAGAGTCGGAAGTGCCTGAATGAATAAACAACACCCCCCACCCCTCCGACTCCTATGTCTCTCAGGATCACTTAGAAGTTCTGCTGGTTTTTTTCTTTGAATGTACAGGAGAAACAGGAAAGAAGGACAACCATGATATTTTTCATGTCAGGAGCAACTTGAGAAATGGCAAGTCGCTTCTGGTGTGAGAGAATTGGCTGTCTGCAAGAACGTTGCCCAGGGGACACCAGATGGAGCTGACAAATGGAGCTCAACCGTGCTGTCCATGGATTCAAACCTGTGACCTGTCGGTCTTCAGTCCCATCAGCACAAGGGTTTACGCCATTGCGCCGCCGCCACCGTGGGCTCCGGCAACCATGATAAACAACAAAACCCTAAGAACAGTAGGAGCCAGTGTTACTGATGTTTGTTACACACTTTGTGACATTTGTGAGCAAACTGACAAGAGTCTTGGGACAATGTCTAAATAGTCAGTCAATGCAATCATGCCTACATCATGAAACCTACATGCCATGGTCTGATTACAAATATACAAATCAGACAGCCAAAGTAACAATGAACTTAAACAATGGGAATCTAGAGAAGTTAAAGGACATCACATAAATCTTTAGTTTGTAGAGATAGTACCTTCATCGATTTTCCATATCGTTCAAGGGACAATGGAGTGAGGGCCCTTCCAGACAGCCCCTATATCCCAGGATCTGACCCCAGGTTTTCCGTTTATCCCAGATTATCTGGCAGTGGGGACTCACATAATCCACTTTAAAGCAGAAAACCTGGGATCGGATCCTGGGATATAGGGCCTGTCTGGAAGGGCCCCGGGGCTTGGTAAGAATACAAGCTTGGACAGGACAAAGCAAAAGAAATTAAGATTGGCACACTCTAGTCTGTCATTTCTCTTTGAACTCACTGGAACTATAATTATTCCTCTTGTACCTGGGCACTAGTAATGTAATGCAGAGATGGCCCTCTAGGAATTTTTGACTGCAATTTCCAGCATCACTAGCGAGCATAGTCATTAGTGAAGGATTATGGTAGCTACAATCCAAAGACATCTAGAGGGTCACAGGTGCCCTCCCTTGGTGAAATGGTTAGGATGTTGGACTGGAACTAGAAGGGCCTAGGTTCGAATCTCCACTCGGCCAGGAAGCTTACCAGTTGACTGTGTATCAATGACTTTCACTAACTCCAATGTACATCACAGGTTATAGTGAAGAGGAAATGGGAGAAGTGGAGAAAACAAATCGGGTATATCATATAAACCTCTTTGGAGAAAAGCAGTATATACAGTAAATCCAAAAAATCATAATATGTGTGCAAGTACCTTGAAATCATCAGTTGACATATGGCAACCCTGTGAATTTCAGAAGTTTTTAGGGCAAGGGATACTCAAGAGGAGTTTTTTTTATCAGTTCCTTCTCCTGAAATATAGCCTGCAGTGCCTGCAAATCCATTGACAACTTTCTATCTAAGTACTAACCAGGTTTAAACCTGCTTAGCTTACAGGTTCAGACAGGGCCTGATGCCCTAGGAGATTTGGGAGTAATAATTACAATATTTTTTTTTTCAAATTCACATTACAGATTCCTTAACCTCTTGTGACATATCTTCTGCAAACATGAAAATGCTACAGACATATGGACAGTTGGATCCCGTCCTGTGTACTCACCTGTGAAAACAGAGGGGTGTGGAAAATTAATAACAATCAGTTTTGTTATCATTTCTGGGTAACAAATAGCAGCCAGCCAAGCAATCATTCCACCCCAGTCGTGACCAATCAGCACACACTTGCTGTATCCTGTTATTTAAAAATAGATTTTTGACAGTTGTTTACCAACAGTTGCCTGAAAATAAATTATCACATCAAAGGACATGACAGGAGATGTTGCTGTATATTTGCTAGCAATATCTCAAAATTGCTTTTCCCCTCCTTGGCAAATGATTTACACCACCACAGATAGGTGTTCACTTCTATTAATAAACCTGTTTAAGAAACAGAGCTGAGAGATACATGAACTCTAAGTAGGAGACTGAAAGCACATTTCTGTTTAAATGGACCAAGGTTCTCCTCGTCTCCAGTGTAGCTGAAGTTAGTTGATTCATAATTTATCAACATGTATGTAAATCAGCTTATAACAAAATGGAGAGGAAATAAGAATACAATAATGTAAAGCAAGTTAGAATATAACCAGAATAGACACCATCTAATCAGAAAAGTCACTACAGGAAGACCCCAAAGATATTTGTAATGTTTTATAGCCCTCCAGTAATGGAGCCAAAGAACACCATTGTATATAAAAGGACTTGTGTATCTATGGATTTTTGTATTATGTGGTGGGGACTGGAACCAAACCCCATGGATACCCAGGGTTCATTGTATCCAGTCTGAGATTGGAGATAACTGTTCCTTTATATATGCCACTAGGCAGGCCCGTAGCCAGGATTTTGATTCAGGGGAGGGGGGCTGAGTTTGATTCGGGGGGGGGGGGCTCAGTCTGAGTGAAAGAGGGTCTACCCTAGCAAACCTTTTGTATCAGTGTCCCAATACCCCCATGCATATGGGATATATTGAGCATGGTGATCAGATCATGATATGAATAAACATAAAAGTTGAAATAATGTACCAGTAAGGCCTTCTCGTGGACCACCATGAAAATTTGGGGGGGGGGGCTGAAGCCCCTCAAGCCCCCCCCCCCCGGCTACATGCTTGCCACTAGGCTTCCCAATTGGAGGAGTGCACTTAAGGAGTCCTTGCTGTAACTAAAGATTATCTCCCTTCTTCCTCCATTCCCAATGGGAAAGGTGAACAGAATGGGAGTTCACAGAGAGATGGAATGTGTCATGTGGATTGCCACTTGTGGCTGACAGTAGAGGTAGTTTCTGATCAGTCTTCACTTTCAAAAGCTGCTCTGTGTACAGAAAGAGAATGCTGGTTGGGAGATTCTCAGAGTTGTAGTCCAAAACCAAGTACAGTAGTCTCGCTTATCCAACCTTCATTCATCCAACATTCTGTATTATCCAACGCAGTCTGCCTCCTGCCCGGATCTGCTGCTGTTTCAAAACATTGCAATGTTTTGGTGCTAAATTCGTAAATGCAGTAATTACTACATAATGTTACTGTGTATTGAACTGCTTTTTCTGCCGATTTGTTGTAAAACATGTTTTGGTGCTTAATTTGTAAAATCATAATGTGATTTGACGTTTAATACGTTTTTCCTTAATCCCTCCTTATTATCCAACATTTTTGCTTATCCAATGTTCTGCCGGCCGTTTATGTTGGATAAGCAAGACTCTACTGCAATTCCGTTCTGGCTTGAATTGCAGCAGGAGATACTGCACATGCTGAAATAACTAGAACCTGCCCTGTCGTGTATAGTTAGATCTGTATTTTATGATATGCGCATTTGGAAGAGGTTTTCCTATCAGGGGCCAGTATCCAGATGCTGCATTCATGTAGCCATACAGGACTCCCACTTGCTTATAGGTTTATGTGATTAATTTAAGGACCTGCAAATTGGAAAAGTGGGCTATCTAGTGGCTCGAGAACAGATAATGAACCAAGGAGTAGTTGCTCAAAACTAGAAACCTGGAAATCAAGACCATTAAGAAAGCTGAAAGGTCTGCTGTAAGGTAATGAATGCCCTTAGTAAGATCACAGCCAGAAAGGTGCATGTCAGTGTTGATCAAGCTTCATAGTTGGTAAGATGGCAGCTGGCAGAATGAAAATGTCATTTTAATAGTTTAGATTGAGGTTTGACATGCCTGCTTAGGAAACACTAGTTTCAGGTGTGAAACCAGCCCCCTTAATATACTGGGGCTTTAATGTAGGCAACCCTGTTCTTCTGGCACGAGCAGAATTCTGGGAAATGTAGTTTAGGGTATGGCCTTTTGAACATTCTGCTACAGAGGTCCTCTCCTTCCCAAACTATATTTCCCAGAATTCTGCTAGTGCCAGGCTGTAGGGCTCATCTGGACATTCAAGACGTATCACAATATACCATTGGTTCTGTACACTCACAAACTGAATGATATCACTAAGTACAATGTGTGCAGTAATAATATAGCAATTATGGCTTCCTTGTCAGCACAGCAGTGAATCCACTCTGAATTTTGGGTAGTTCCCAAAGAGTAATTCAAGGTGCTGATCCTATTTTTGAATAAAACAATTGCCATCTTGGACAACTCCCTGAAATCCTGGATTAAAATCTGGATGGGATTCACCATTCTGCTGACACGGAAGCAATGATCTATCACTGGCTAATTGGCCAATTTCCATGTTTTTAGAGAGATATACTCTTATGTGGGGAAAAATGACATGGAAATGGGTGATACATGAATCATGAACCTTCCCCATGGGAAACATATACACAATTACAGACAATCTCCAATAATTCCTGCAATAATTGAGGGAATATTGTACTAACACTTTCATTCTGACTAAGGTACAAAATCTGTTAAACAGTTCAAGAAGTGCAAGCCAAGGAAATTTTCTTGGATTAAAATGAAAGTGAGAAAAATGGCATATACGAACAATCACCTTGAAAAGGGTTTTGTTCAGGGAAATATGTTATCATCTACCTATTTTGCTTTGAAGAGATATTATAAACTGAGCAGCAAGGCTGCTATTAACATACCAAGAGATTCCAAGATATCCTTCACATCTGTAATCAGGCAGTCTAGTTTGTAATTTTCACGATGGATAGGAGCATCTGTTTCTCCATAACCTCTCAAATCCAAGGCCACAACTCGGTATTCACTCTTGAATTCCCGCATCTGATGACGCCAGGAGTACCTAGCAAAAAGAAAATAGCAAAATTCCATAGTATTTTACATTTATAATCTGTCTTTCTATCATTCACGCAGGAAACACAAAACTAAAGATAATAGAAACATAATATTGGCAAATAAAACATAAATGAAACAAAGGTGAACTAATTTTAAAGGAGCAACTCAACCCAAACAGGTTCCTCACTTTGGACAGTTCTTCTAAAGTTCAAACTAAAACCCAGAGTGGATTCACAGCCCCAACAACACGGAAGCCACCAGCCATCACTGACACATAGAACCAGAATAGGAAAAACTACAGTTCAGTTCTTGAAAAACAAAAAGACAAAAACCAAATACCATACATCCTGGCAATTTTATTAATGATTTTAATATCAAGATTACCACGAAGCAGGGAAAGTGAAACAGATTCTTCTAGGTGGGAAGAAAAGTAATGAAGAAAAATTGAAACAATCATTGTGGTAAGAAAAGGCATCATTCAAAATTATTTTCGTGTCAGACAATGGGAGATAATCCTTTATTAGAGTGGCTAATACTCCAGAATGATCTACTGATGTTTCATTAGTAGTAGTTAATGAAAAGTTATCTCTAGAATTTTGTATATAAAGACAGATAGTCCTCCATATTTGTGGGTTTGACTTTCACAGATTTGATGCATTTGGCTGAAATGTTATCTCTAGAAATCTCTAGAACCTCCAGTGTGACTTTAGCATCACCTTCTGCTGCACGTTGGCCATAGAGTCATGCTGGAAAACCTAGAGATTTCTAGAAAGGTAAAAAAAATCATTTTTTATAATTTGTGGTTTTCCCACTTTCATGGGGATCTTGCACTGTTAGCTCCAGTGAAAGTGGAGGACTCACTGCACTCATAGATACTCATAGCTAGAGTTTGAGAAGATGGCAACATCTACTTCAAGAAAATTCAAAGAAACTGGGGCTCAACTTGGCAAATTTTAATTTGGAGACAGAAAAATATCTGCACATTGGTCAAAGGAGAGACATGTGGAGGTTCTTCTGCTTAACAGTAGGCTTGTGCATTTTGGGTAAATGACAATCCCTTTTGGTGTCCCAGATTTCGGTAGGGACCCTGATCTGTTTTTCAGGAACCTCCCGAATTCGGGAGGTCAGATCTGTTTTTGCTCTGGGGTGTTGAAATATTTGTTTTCTATCTAGCCCACTATGGGAGGGGGGCTTCCCAGGCTTCCGTTCCCATCATTTTAGGCATTTAAGCTGTTTCTACTCCAGGGGAGGCTGGTGCAGATGCACATGCTTTCTCTCCTGGGCCCGTACCACGCCAACACTCTTTCCAAGGCATTTGAAGGAGGATTCTTAAAGCTGTTTCTACTCTAGAGGAGAGTTGCTGCAGGCAGACACGTGCTTTAAGGAGGCTTTAAAGCTGTTTCTACCCTAGAGAGGCACTGCAGGAGGCAGGCACACGTACTGCCTCCTGCAGTGCCTCTCCTCTAGGAAGTTTCTTACCTGTTGCTACTCTAACGGAGAGGTGCTATAGGCAGGTGCTCACACGTTCTTCCCAGACCAGGCACATTTTTCCAAGACATTTTAAGGAGATTTTCCCATTTCCAGGTAAGGAAGAGCAATGACCTCCTGGAGTTGAGCTATCCTCCCACAGCCATGTAACCCAGAATATCAAGGCAGAAAATCCCACAATATCTGCTTTGAATTGGGTTATCTGAGTCCACGCTGCCATATATTCAAGTTCAAAGCAGAAAATGTATGGAAGTGGCTGTGTGGAAGAGGGCTAAGCTTCCTCAAAAATGTTTTTCCCTTGCAAGCTTCAATCTCTTTTCTGCTTTGGGTTTAATGCTTCCTTAGAGCTGTTGCTACTCTCTATTCTAGAGGAGAGATAACTGGTAGTTGTGTTTTAAAGAAAACAAGGTTTTTCTTTTTGTTTGCTGGGATTAATAAAAAAGATTAAACTGTGATGCTGAAAAGCAGAGGAGGAGCCGAGATCGGCTCACATTGTTTTCATTGCCGGTGGGTTTTTGTACTGGGAGGGCCCTTATCATCACGTGCTCCCGAAGGTACCGAAGGAAAACAGATCCATGCACAAGTCTATTTAACAGGAGTAGCAGATTTGGTACTGAACGTCTCCTTGATACGCTTCCAATATAATCTGTTTTCGAATTTGGAATTAACAGACACCACAGAGACACTCAAGGGTCACTTAGCTATCGTCTGATGGATAGGACTACATTATACAGTCAATGGGGACTTGGCAGTAAGGTACTGATGTTCCTCTTTGCTGCAGTGAGGTTTTTCTCTATCTTTCCTGCCATAATTTGTGGAATCTATTGAGCTGGAATTAATGTCTTTGAAGATGAACATTTCTGAGCAATAGCTTCTTTGTCCGTAAGCTATTCCCTGGAAATCCTTGTGAGTAAACATAGCAATACATCTAAATGTAACTAAAGGAATCTCTCTTAATGGTTTATGGTGGCCTTAGGTCTCTTTGAATAAGGTTCTGAATTGAATGCAGCAACATGAAGAAAAAGCATTTTCCCTCATCTTCTTTTAAAAACAACAACAGACAAACAAGGGACTATCTGAGCCAGAAAAATGAGGCCTCAGGAATAATATAATGCACAATATTAACTTCTTTTTCAGGAGGGGAGAGAAATTGCTCCCTAATCAAAGGAAGATGTAAAATGTGTAACAGATTAGCTTCAATACTGATATTTTGCTTTTTCATCTCTGTTTTGTATTTTTCAGTATGTCCTTATTCAATCAATCTCTCCTGCTTCTTAACAATGAAGATTAACAGCTGACATTAAGTTGGTATCTCTGCATAATTTCCACCATCAAACTACTTGGAATGTATTATATAATATAAAAAGCTAAAGAAGTCTGACTTAGATAGATAGGTATGTGACTAATATTCTATCATCTATCTATTAAGTATTTAAAGCACTTATAACTTGTCTTCTAGCCAAGAAGACATCTGTAGTGGTTTAAAAACAAATTAAATGCTTCTTGCCTTTAGGCTTAGCATAGGGAGGGGAGAGAAGGAAAGGGAAATCTGGAAACCTTTTTAAAAAGGGAGCCTTATTGGTCTATACAATTATTAAAACCCAGGGTCCTTCCACACAACCATATAACCCAGAATATCAAGGCAGAAAATCCCACAGTATCTGCTTTGAACTGAGTTATTTGAGTCCACACTGCCATATATTCCAGATCAAAGCAGATAATGTGGGATTTTATTCAGCTGTGTGGATGGGGCCTTAGATAGACAGATGATAGCCAGGCAAATAATATTCTAAATCTAACTTTTTAGATGTTATTGAGAAAATCTCACCCTTCAAAACATTTTGCATCAACTTTATTGCAGATGTTGAACTGCACCTCACCATCATCTATACTTGGACAAACTGCTAGAAGTTGCAGTTTCCACAACATATGGCAAGCCATAGAGTATCCAGTTCCTAGTTTTGGGATCAGTTCTGAATGTTGTAAAGGTTTTATAAAGGTTTTTTTTTTTTTATAAAAGCCAACTTCAATTCAGCTATAAAGAATACAGTGCACCTGGAAGCTGTTGGTCTTCTTATCATGGCCCAAAATCAGGTTAAGGAGAGAAAATGCCAATCTTCTGATCTTTCTGTCAACTAAGCGAAAGGGTTGTGCATGCTTGTTTTGACTTCTCTTTTCCACAGCTAAAAAATGACTGCAAAGATGGAATGACTTCTGGATGACAATTAGAGGAGAGGCCATAAATAATTACGACTGGGTAAAAATGGGAAAGTGAGTTAATATGGTGTAGTTTTGGACTACAACTCTGGAGACCAGTGCCTGCTTCTCCAGGGCCCTGGTCTCCAGAGGTGTAGTCCAAAGACCAGAATATCAAGGCAGAATATTCCACATTTATCTGAGTGTGGGTTTAGATAACCCAGTCCCCTTCCACACAGCTGAATAAAATCCCACATTATCTGCTTTGAACTGGAATATATGCCAGTGTGGACTCAGACAACCAAGTTCAAAGCAGATATTGTTGGATGTTCTGCCTTGATATTCTGGGATATAAGGCTGTGTGGAAGGGCCCCCACCCAACCATGAACACCTAGCACAGTAGTTCTCAACCTGTGGGTCTCCAGATGTTTTGGCCTTCAACTCCCAGAAATCATAACAGCTGGTAAACTGGCTGGGATTTCTGGGAATTGTAGGCCAAAACACCTGGCGACCCACAGGTTGAGAACCACTGACCTAGTAAATAGCTTTGGACAAGTCACACATTCTCAGGGCCCTTCCAGAAATTCCTACAACCCAGAATATCAAGGCAGAAAATCCCACAATATCTGCTTTGAACTGGGTTATCTGTGTCCATACTGCCATATATTCCAGTTCAAAGCAGACAATGTCGGATATTATTCAGCTGTGTGGAACGGGCCTCAGATCCCATTGTCAGTGCAAAGAGGAAGAATTAATTTGATTGATTTTAAAACATTTTAAAGGGTTTGGACTTCACTGAAAAAAGTTTGCAAAATATCTTGCATGTCTCTTGTGTTTAATTTTCTACTTTTAAAAAAATTCATCATTTGAGGTATGTGGTATTTATTCAAAGGTCTTTTCTTCAACTTCTGCTGTATTACTTATTTATTATACATCTCTTGTTAGAAATCTCAAAGTTTCCCTGTCTCCTTTTATAGTGTGGATGGCTTTGTTTGAAGTGGGGAGAGTGGGAGAGAGAAGGAAATGGCTTTATGTTCAATTTTTAAATGCAAGGGCATGGGGTGTGTGGCCATCCAATAGTTTGTAGATTGTAGCTCACATCATCCCTCACCTTTAGCTAGTCTAGTAAAGGCTGATTGGAATCCAACAACATAGAGAGCCATATCATCTACATGCCATACAATGTTACCTCAATTTGTCAATCAAGCAACAAATAAATAATACCCCAACCAAAAAGTGTAGGGTGCGCAAAATTTCCAAAAGTCCTAGGATGCCAGGTGGCTTGCAACATCTTAAAACATCTTGTTGAAGCACTGTAAGTCAAATACTAAAATTATGCAATGACTCCAAAATATCAAAATACTGTAAAAACTGAATGTTCACTGCCTTCATTTAGAACCAATAAATATTTGTACAAAATGGTTTTTCCCTGTCAGCAGAAGGATGACAGAGTAGGCTAATGTTCCTGGGAAGAGTTTTCCATTTCCTAAAAGCATTCAGCATTTTCCCATCAAATGTGCCCTAAAAGATGGTGAGATTAAGGGAAGAGCCTTAGATCTTAAAGCCTGGCCAATGTCACACGGGGATCCTATCCTTCAGATAATGTGGATGGAACCATATATGGCTTTTATAGGTCATAACCAGATTATAGCTACGGTGAGGCTATATAAGGCTTTACAGGTCATCTTCAGAAATCAGATTATACCCTGAGAAAAGGGTTACCCTAATGCTTCTCATGACAAATAGAAGTATGTGCCAGAATTGTTCTAAGAAATGATTTTGCTTTATCAAGGACAAACAATTGCAGCTATTTCAAGGGCAAGGCAGCCTGTACCCAATATTGGTATTTTGCACCTTACTGTAATGTCATATTCTTCTTTTGATTTCCCATCAGACTTCAATTCATGTGTCATTCCAGTAGCAAACCTGCTCTGGGAAGCCAAACTAAAGCAGCACTTCTGAGTACTGGAATGTGAACTACGAGCACAAGAAATCATTCCCAAATCCAGAAGGTTCACTCACTGGGTTACAAACAGCTCAACCCACAGAGGAAAAATGGGTGGTTAAGCACTCTGATCAACAACACTCACGGGGATTAAATCAACAGGGAGAACTATGTTCCCAAGATAATGCTTAAACTGAACCTAGAGAGGTTTTTGTCAGCCTCATTATTTAAAACATCCACATGCCATCCTATATCATGCTTGGCTTTTGGAACAATGTATAAGCAAAACTCCTCCTCCTCCTCATTATTATTACCAGTACCCATTTTCCTCTCTACAAAGAGACTCAAAATGAATAACATTAAAAAGCATTTCAATACCATTTAAAATCTTAAAATACATAAACACTGAAACAAAATTAAATATAAGTGGTATTAAAATTCACAGTTAAAGTCCATAAAAACATAATCAAAGCAAAAAACCACAGCACTCCCTGACTTGATCTTTAAAAACTTATTTTTTAAAAGCCTGCCTGGATAAAAAGGTTTTAGCCTGCTGCTGTAAGGACAGCAGGCAGGGGTCCACTTTGGCTTCCCTGGGAAGAAGGGAGTTGAGGGGCAGCCACCAAGAAGGCCTGCTCTCTCATTCCCACCAACTGAACTTTGTGATGACGTGGGATCGAAAGAAGGGCCTCTCCTAAGGATCTCAGGGCCAGGGCAGGTTCATTCAGGGGGATGCGGTCAGTCAAATAGCCTGGACCTGAGCTGTATAGAGCTTTAAAGGTCATAACCAGCCATTTGAATTGTGTCTGGAAACAAACTGGCAGCCAGTGGAGCTGCTGAAACAGGGGGGTTGTCCACTCCCAGTGAGCAACCTGACTATTTATTTATTTATTTACTACATTTATATGCCGCCCTTCCCACCCCTAAGGGGAGAAGGTGGCTGCAGCTCTTTGGACCAGCTGAAGTTTCTGAGCACTCTTCAGAGGCAACCCCATGTAAAGCATGTCAAAGTAATCCAGACAGGATGTAACTATGCTATATATATTACCATGGGCAGATCCTATGTAAAATCATTCTACATATTTTTGACATTAATATTGAAATCCGAAATATATACAGACTTTCCTGGCCACCACAGATACCTGGGCTCCAGGTTCAACGATGAGTCCAGGAGGACCCCCAAACTGCACACCTGTGCATTCAGGGGGAGTATGACCCCATCCAGCAGAGGCTGGATCCCTATTCCTGATCTGCCTTCCAACGGATCTGGACCATCTCTGTCTTGTCTGGAGTAAGTTTCAATTTGTTTGCCCTCATCCAGTCCATAACTGATGACAGACACTGGTTTAGGGTCAGGGCAGCTTCCTTGGCATTAGGTTGAAAGGAGTAGTAGAGTTGGGTGTCATCCGCATATAGGTGGCACCGTACTCCAAAACTCCAGATGACCTCTCCCAGTAGTTTCATGTATATGTTTAATAGCATGGGAGACAAAACAGAACCCTAAGGAACCCCACAGGATAATGGCCAGGGGTTTGATTAGGACCCCCCCAGCACCACCTTCTGGGTACAGCCCTCCAGGAAGGACTAGAGCCACTGCAATACAGTGACTCCCAATCCCATCCCAGCGAGACGGCCCAGAAGGATACCATGATCGATGATATCGAAAGCTGCTGAGAGATCCAGGAGAATCGATGAGGTCACACTCCCCCTGTCTAGCTCTCTGTGTAAGTCGTCCACCAAGGAAACCAAAGCTGTTTCTGTTCCATAGTCATAACTTATACCACAATATAAAATAGAATACTAATACAACCAAGATAATGTATTAAAACTATATTAAAATATTAACACGTTAAAATGTCTGGGAAAATAATATTATTCTACCACCAGAAAGACTGCAACTACAGGTTGACCAGGAGAGTCTCTTTAGAGAGAACATTCCATAACTGGGGCATCACTGCCAAAAGAAGCCCTCCCCTCTGTCACTGATTCATGTACCTTCACTCAGGGTAAGATCTTAATGTACTACTTATTGTCAAGCATAATATGTACACTACTGCATACCAATGGACTGAACTGCCTTGGAGTTATATGGTGGTGGTCCCAATATGTATCTCATGATACCTATAAGTGTTACTACATATAAACAACTACAGGTTGAGCAGCCCTTATCTGGAATCCCAAAAGTCTGAAATACTCTGAAATTCATGTGGGTAACTGAGATAGCGGCACTGTTGCTTTCTGATGACTCAGTACACACACACTTTGTTTCATACACAAAAATATTTTTAGAAATATCATTTTCAGGCTATGTGTATAAGGTGTCTAAAGAAATTTCCTGTTTAGACCTTTGTTTTATCTCCAGGATTTTGTAGAGGCAAATATTCCAAAATCCGAAATCCAAAACACTGTTGGTCTCAAGTATTTTGAATAAAGGATACTCAACCTGTATTTTTTAAAAAAGTTTTCTTCTTTGTTGTACCTGAAGTGAGTTCCAACTGGTTATTTACTTTGTCCTAAATGTAACCTTGAGATACTGGCAGCATAACAATTTTGTAAAATATGAGCTGGTGTTGTATAACTTATTTTCATTCGGAAGATGCTGAAGCTTTTCTGGTACTCTGAAGTGCTCTTGTGAAGTAATTATTTAATCCTGTAATTTATATAACAGGATCCAAGCTTATAAATAATATCTGCCTAGACTGACATAGTAAGACAACTAAGGTATTTTTAGCTAGAATATTATATGCTGTGATTTCAGTCATAAATTATTTTAACACTGTATTTTTTCCAAATCAACAACATTGGGTGTAAATTATACTATTTATGTTCACAATGACCTATATAACATGTTTACTTCACACCCAATGAAAATATTCAGATAAACTTCAGATTTTGCATACAACAGACTCAGCCAACATGTCATTTGCCAACATGGCCGAGTTCTCCTGGGCTCTATCAGATTGCAATCAAGGAAAATAGCCCATGCTCACTCAAAACAAAAATAAGAAGGCTTTCAAGAGGCAAAAAACAGAAATTCTAAGCTTGTAGGTTTGTTAAAATATATGAGGGTAGATGCAGTTTGAACATTAACATTAGATTTCATTTATATATCAAATCTTTCTTCTAGATCTCTGCCTGGTAGTCACCACAAGTATTAAAAAGCTGAAGTGTTTGAAAGTTCTTGAAGTAAATGGAATTTGTCAGAGCTGGGATGTGTTACTTTTTTGGTCTACTATTCTCAGAATTCCTGGCCTGCTGTGAGATTCTGGGACAGCAGTCTAAAACGTTCTATTTCCAAGTTCTGCTATTAAGTGGGAATGGGAAGAATATTTTAAAAATATTATGAAAAGGGGGTGAAAAATGAACAGAAGCCTGGACTGATGAGAATTTCACAATTTGAGATGAGTTCTACTTAAAAATCACATGTGGTTGTTACAGCATTTTCCATGTAAGGAATAGAAATTTCTGCGCAGAAAACGATATTTCTGTACAGAATTTCAGCATATCATTTTAACACAAAAAACTGTTTCCTGCACAAAAATACTGTGTGAATTTTGCATGCAATAAATCATGCCCTTTCAATAGTTTCTAGGTTTGCATTTTCTCTGTAGAATTAATGCAGTTTGGCACCACTTTAACTGCCATGCTTTTGCATCAAAGCAGCTGGCCCACTGTCAAGATACTACACTTGGAAGGCTATCATACTTGGACAATGAGGGATTGCCTAAGTAAAGTAAGCATCGAAGCAGCTTATAGTTTTACAAAGTCTTTAGCATTTTCTTCCAAATAATAGTTGCACCTTCCCAAACTACAACTCCGAAGACTTCATAACATTGGGGCACAGCAGTTAAAGTGGTGTCAAACCGCATTGATTCTACAACACAGACTGCAAAGTTTTGAATTATTTTTTTTTGCAACAAGAAGAAAATTGCAAAAATCCTTCTTAGTTTCATTCAAACAGAACATTAGCAAGAAAATTAGCATTTCTTCCTTCAAGAAGAAAATGAGCAAGAACTATATTGCTACTATTGGATTACCAGCTGGGCAGAAGGAAACAGGTGTTTGGAAGAATAACCAGCAACTATTGTTGCTAACTTATCTTTTAGTCAACTATACATTACATGGAATTCCACTAGGGTTTATGTACCAGTCATGTTTGCACGATCATAAGAATCTTGTGGGTTATTACTGACAATAATCACTAATTTTAGAGTTCTTAGACAAGCTGGAATACAAACAGATAACACAGCAGCATGGATTTGGTCATTGGTCATCTTTATGCAGTACACAGACATAGAAGCACGGGTAATAAAAGCTAACATAAAGAAACCAAGAAGGAAGTTTTTACCAGAATTCTGGAAAGCCGTGTAGGAGCAGCATAAGTGGTTTACCTCTTTCTCCTGCAGCCACATAGTGGAATCTTAACCCAGTGTCCTGAAAGTGAAAAAGAGATGCTGTATTTTTAACATTCAGTCTAGGAAGGTGTTTTCAAAAGATTCCATGACCTGGACACAAACCATTTAGAGCTTTATAGGTAATGACCAGCACTTTGTATTTAGCACAGAAGTGGACCAGCAACCAGTGGAGCTGCCGCAGCATGGGAGTTGTCATCTCACGATACGGCGTTCCAGTTAGCAATCTGGCCGCCGATCTCTGCACCAATTGAAGTTTCCAAACTATCTTCAAAGGCAGCTTGCGTAGAAAGTGTTGCAGTAATCCAAACGGGATGTGACCAAGTCATGGACTGCCATGGCCAAGTCAGGTGTCTCATGGTTTTGTGCTAAGGCGCTTCTGGCCACTGCCGACATTCAGAAGAACTATTCCCTCTGAGTAGATTGACAAAAGGTGTGAGCTTGGTCCATCTCTGGTTAACTCAAAAGGCACACTGACCCCCTCTACTTTCTCTGCTGTAGCACCACTTCTGATCTTTAGAAAGTCTGAATGGGAAAATGGCATCTGACCCCCTGAGATGGCATTGGGGCTTTTCCCTCACTATAGAATGACACTGAAATAATTCAAAACCAATACTTTGGCTCTTATACCTACCCTCAACTTAAACATGAGGTCAGTTTATACACAAGAATATGTAGTATGAGGATGCTCAAATATCTGAGCATTGAAAAAGCCAGTGTTTGACAGACAGGTTAAATATAGAATTTATAAAAGATCCACAAACTAGTTGAGAAATACAGGCCTATATTGGTGAGATAAGGTTTGTTTCTCCTTTTCGGTCATTGTTGGATAGGTTTGGCCATAGTATGTTGTCTGAGGAGCATTACCACTGAACGTGCAATGCATTAAGACCTTTAAAACTTAGTAAAAACGTAACCCCAAATTTGAAAAAAAAGCTAATTATTTTTTAATGCAATGTGAGATGTCAGGCACATGTCACCTCTAAAGAGGCATTTTCTTTCTTTCCCTCATTCATAGAAAGGAATGCCTTTCACAGCACATATTTCTATCATCCAAGAAAAAAAAAAGAGTCTTAACAATCTGAGCTGTGCCTTTCTTCATAATTTGTGGTTTTATTCATATGCAAATGTAGGAATGTTCCATATGATCAAAACTTTTGAGTGACACCTCAAGAATCCTGTTCATTCCATACCAAAAAAAGAAAAGAAAAGAGGGGGTGTTTAGCCTATCCCTCTGCCTCCAAGGATGTTTTTTGTTTGGGTCTTGGCAGGATATTCCTCATCTGCTTATTTTATGAATCCTTCAGCCATTCTCAGTGATACGCATTTGCACGAATGCATCTAGACCTACCCCCCCCCCCCCCGAAAAAGGAGAAATGGTGTGTGTGGGTGTGTGTGTGTGGGGGGGGGGGGAACAGTAGAAGAAAAGCAAACATAACAGCTATTTACTTTATTCTGAATCTATACAAAACCAAATATTCAGTTTAACAGTTCAATCCTGCACACATATACTTAGTCATATACCTACAGTTCTATTTGAGCCCTATGGCTTACTTCCAGGTTTGTGGGTAATTTAAAGGATCTCTCTTCTCCATTGCTTGGCTCAGGCAGAAATGACAGATTGCAAAGCAGCACTAGGAAAAGAAAACTGATTGCAATTGGTCGTGGAATGTTTTGAAAACACCTGTCCCCTTTAATTCTATCAAATACAACAGATTGCGTGAAATTAACCTGATGAGTACATATCCTAGATTGGATCCTACAAAAACTTTCTACTGTAATTCTAATGGGCAATAGTGGTTTTCAGCCAAGGTGGCACTTTAACCAGCCATATATTAGTTGTCACACTATTTCAGATGAAAAAACAAGCTCTCTGATGAGATTGCTAATAAAGACACCAATCCGACTGTGTATCTTTGTGTATTAGTAACTATCTTGAGAGCCTCTATTCATTTCACACTTGACGTCAGACAGCTGTGAGAGGCTAACATGCACATGACTTCTACTTAAGTAATGTTTTTCTTGATAAGGGCATAATCTATTTCTTTCTAAAGTGTAATAGATTACAGTTCAGTGATATAATCTGTAATACTTTCACATTCCAACATTATGGGTAAGCCCTGATATCTTCCCTGTTTTGAAATGAGATTGTCTCTATAAAGAGCCTTAGTTTCAAAGCAGTTTTGATAACTATGCCACGAGATTCATTTTACCACAATTTTCAAACAAAGGAGAAAATGGAAGTCAGCCATATACACTTCTCTCGGTTACCAAGAACATCCTGTGCCAGAGAGCACGTCTAAACTGAACACTTAGTTTGGTGTGTGTTGATCAGCCCCACGGTGGCTCAACACTGTATCAGAAATGACTTGAGAAACTGCAAGTCGCTTCTGGTGTAAGAGAATTGGCCGTCTGCAGGAACGTTGCCCAGGGGGTGCCTGAATGTATTACCATCCTGTGGGAGGCTTCTCTCATGTCTCCACATGGGAAGCTGGAGCTGACAGATGGGAGCTCATCTTGTCTTGTGGATTTGAACTGCCTGACCTTCAGGTCAGCAATTCAACCGGCACAAGAGTTTAACCTATTGCGCCACCACGGCTCCTACTACATAGAGCTGATCCAGCTTAACCCAGGACTAGGCTGCCTTAGTTTGGACTAGCCTTGGGTTAAGCTAATTCAAGGAGGGGGACCAAATCCTGCACCAGGGGAAGTCAAGTCAGGTGGGTCAATTCCTAACTGGAACCAGTGGCAGTTGTCTTGACTGCCATCCCATTTTCTCTGGGCTCAGGTCCCATAGCATGTCTGCCCAGCAGTGCTGAACCATATCAAGCCTAATGTCAAGTGTGAAATATGTAGAGGGTCTCAAAATAGTTACTTACGGACATGGAACCACTGCCAGGTTAGTGTACCACTTTGGATGAACACCACAGTGGCTCATCAGAGGTACCATAGAAAGCTTGGATGATACTACTAATCATGTGAAGGTTTCTTTCCTGGATTTATAACTTGGAAATACATGAACTGCCTTACAATTACAGTGGAACATTTCTTTTCAGAGACCAATCTCAAAGTTGGGGGAACAATTCTAAAATTGCTTGGTCAATTTATCCAAAGGACTGAGACCTTAATACTTGAATTAGTGCCTCTTTCTCTGTATACTTGTCTGAGGGCCAAGCTCTAGTGGAGAAGTCCTCTTCTGTGTCTCAAACAAATATGGTCTTGTACAGGGCTTATGTACAGGGCTTAATATGAGGTTTTGGATGGCATACTACTATAAAACATACAATTGCTGCAAAATGGGACTGACAAGTTGTGTCTCTACCTGCCCCCTGCCCCTTCCCTGGGAAAATGCCTTTCGGTGCCCTCTAATAAAATGTATTGCGCAAGTAGAGCTGAAGCCAAAAGTTGAAAAGTCAATTCTTTCTCTCTCTTTCTGATACCCCATTCCCCATCTCTCCACCACTGCGTTCTCTCTCTCTCTCAATCTCCTACTCCCCATTTCTTCCTCCCCACATAGAAGACTGCTAAAGAAGCGATAGGTTGCTCTTACAGAGGCCTAAACTGATTAATTGTGAGAGGCATTTCAAATTAGTCTGAAGGTCACCTGAGATAGGGGTGAGCCAACATGGTGGTTTATTTATTTGTTTATTTACTGCATTTATATCCTGCCCTTTTCACCCCAAAGGGGACTCAGGGCAGCTCACAACAAAGGCAAAATTTGATGCCATAAATACACATATAGAATAAAACAACATATATTGAAAAACCACATAATTAAAACATATCCATCTTAACAAATTAATTAAAATCACACCATCGAAAGGAATATTCCTCAAGTTATTCCAGTTATCAATTACATTATTCATTGTTGCACTGGGAGATCATTATCGCACTGGGAATTGTCCAAAGGCTTGGTCCCACATCTATGTCTTCATTTTCTTCCTGACGGTCAGGAGGGAAGGAGCTGGTTAATTTATCTGGGGAGGGAGTTCCATAGCCAAGGAGCCACCACTGAGAGTGCCCTGTCTCTCATCCCCACCAGTCATGCCTGTGAGGGGAGTGGGATCTAGAGCAGGGCCTCCTTGGATGATTTTAACCTCTGAGATGATTTATAGAAGTAGATATGTTTGGACAGGTAAACTGGGCCAGAACCATTTAGGGCTTTATAGGCTAAAGCCAGCACTTTGCATTGTGCTCAGTAGCATACTCGAAGCCAGTGGAACTGGTGCAACAAAGGGGTTGTGTGCTCCCTGTACCCCGCTCCAGTGAGGAACCTAGCTGCTGTCCGTTGGACTACTTGAAGCTTCCAAACAGTATTCAAAGGTAACCCCACGTAGAGATGTAAGAAGAGCATGGACTAACATGGTGAAATCTGACTTCCCAAGGTATGGGCACAACTGGTGCACAAGACTGATTCACCCCAGTCTCAGTGGTTTGAACACTGGAGTACAACTCTGGAGACATGCCTTCAAATCCAGGTTTGACCATGGATACCCACTGGGTGACCTTGGGCATCACACGTTTTCTTGAACACAAGGAAGGCCATGGCACATACCCTTTGATTAAGCCTTGCTAAGAAAATCCATGATAGCGCCATGTTAGTGTTCGGATAAATCGGAAATGACTTGAAGGCATGTGATGACAACAATAACTAACAAGTTGCCCACCCCTACTGAAAATAAAGTTGCTTTAACCCTTCTTGAATTTTAGATGCTCACTAAAATAACCTCATTCCAGAATGGAGATCAGCTCTTGCTGGTTGTATAAACTTTGTCTTAGTGTAGATTAAGAAACATTTATTCTTTCCTTTATAGAGATTTTCCCTGTAGCAAACAATAAGTCTCCATAATTGACTTCCATTGTCGTAAAGGGCACTTCATATTGAATTAACTTACTGACTGGATATGTAATTCAATTAAACATATTAACAGCACTTTATGTTCATAATCACCTTGTACTGTTTTGTTATATAATGCTAATTTATATTCTGAGATAAATGTTTAACAACACTGTAGAAGTGATTAAGTACATCTGGAAGTGCCAGCCCTCTGAGCAATTTATCTTTCAGTGTTTAACAACAAGTGTGCAAGATTCTGAACAGGTGGCCATTACAGTCAGTACCAATACTGCTCAAGCTCTTACTGACAAATCACAGAGAAATCTACTAGTCCCAACTTCACTAGGCACATTTGATGGAGGACAACTATAGGAGTGGACTACTGCTTCTATTGCCTACTTGTGAGTTTCCCCGAAACACCTGATAGTCACTATGAGGGGGAAGGATGCTGGAGTAGATGAATATTTTGGTCTGATTCAGGAGAATTCTCCCTATGTTCTTCCTAACAGTTTTTTTCAATGTAATAGCCGCCAGGACTTAACTCCTCTAACACTTAAGAACAGAACAACTAATTACAAAATACGCTGAATGCCAAGTGGTTTCCTTATTGCTACATTCTCCACTTTTCCTTAAGACACTCGTTCCCTTGAGACCCCTCCTTTGCTAGAGAAACATGTTCATCTCATCCATGCTTGGATTTCATCACATGATGTACTGACTCATCTCTGTTTTGCATCATTGGCTGAGGCTGGTGGGACAGAGGAAGGGAACAGAAGGATAATGCTATGACAAAGAGTCATTTGCACGTTGGCAGGGAGAAGGGAAGAACTCAACATAAGGAGGCCAAGCTTTATAGTATCTTCGTGCTACACTATTAATAGTATGGGAAATGAAATTCTGAAATTCTACTTGGGCATTTTTGCAGTGTGTATCTGTCAACAATTCTACCTACTATATAACAGAAATTTCTACTCACTGTTGTAGGAATGACTGTGTTACTTCCACAAACGGTACAACCCTGACTCAGGACCAGATGTAAAATAAACTTACAAAAAGAAACTTGAGATCATTTGTGTTTGTTTGTATATCATTCACACCTCTCCTATATATTGTGCATTGAGGTGGGTAAATGATGCATAAGTTAACTATATACCTCTTGCCTGAGTCAGTCGCCTGAGACCTCACAACCTCTGAGGATGCTTGCCATAGATGCAAGCAAAACGTCAGGAGAGAATGCTTCTACACCATGGCCATACAGCCTGAAGAACCTACAACAACCCAGTGAGTCAGTATTGCTGGCACTGATAGTTTCAATGAGATTTGGAGGTCTGAGGGCCCTTCAACACAGCCCTATAACCCAGAATATCAAGACAGAAAATCCCAGAATATTTGTTTTGAACTGGAATATATGGCAGTGTAGACTCAGAGAACCCAGTTCAAAGCAGATATTGTGGGATTTCCTGCCTCGATATTCTGGGATATAGGGATGTGTGGAAGGGCTTTAAGTTTTACAGGGGCACTGGGCAATTTCAGAGCTGACATTTGATTCAAACCTAACAAGGGGTCGTCTCAGATTCTATATTGAGCCTAGACCATTTTAGTTACTCAGTGAAGGTCCACAAAGCTTTTTTACATCTTAGGTGAACAGAATCATCTGGTTTATAAAATAATAAACTGATGCCGGAACATAGTAGCATCCCAGCTATCTTCTCACAAAAACCATCCCCCCATCTATTATGTGTGGGCTGGTCATTCTATTACAACCCAGTACTTAATACTAGTAGCCTAAGAGTATTGGAGTTGGGCAAGCTTGGAAATAGCTCAGTACTTTTACCAAAAGTAACTACTGAAAGGTTGCATAAGTGCATTTGTGAATCACCTGAACTCTCTCAAATGTCCTGCCCCCCACCAAGTATTGATGGTTTGGATGAAAAACATCTTTCAAGTGAAGGTAAACAGACAAACTCCTCTCACCCTCATATGACTGATTTGCACCAGTTCTCCTACAATTGTAAGGTTCATTCTGTTGACCCTCAGAAAGGAGAGGGAAGACACAAAGCACATTTCAAGATCAAGCAGGGCATAGATGGAGATGGAGGTTGGAGGTGGAGGTTGGAGATAGAGGTTAGAGATGGAGGTTAGAGGTGGAGGTTGGAGGTGGAGATTAGGGATGGAGATGGAGGTTGGAGATGGAGATCGAAATATAGATAGATACAGACATACGCATACACATACATATTGGGAGCACAACAACAATCCAACTAAACTCTCTGTTTCTACTAGTTGGATGTTTCAACATCCAACTGTCTGCAGTTCTACACATCCCACTCTCTTCTATATACCCTTCCTAATCTTTTCAGTGGTGTTAGAAAGACACACACTTTCTCATACACAACCACACACACCTCAATCCACAACAAAGTGGAGAAAGCCATAGTCCTGCTTTGATTGGCTGATTGCACTTTACATCCTTGTTTTTTTTGTTTTTGTTTTAATTCCAGCAACATCCACTGAGGCAATAAATAAATAAATACACCAGAGGAGGGGGAAAGAGGAGGAAGGGAAGGAGGGAGGAGAAAAATAAAAGGAAGGAAGGAAAACAAGAGCAGCTCCAACCTCTTGGAGGCAAAGGAGATCAGTTTGCCTTTGACAGCCAAAGTCAACTCTGCCTTCCCATTTCGAAGGTGGGAGAGAAGATGACCCCAAAGCCCTGGGGCTCCAATGTGGTTGGCTTGGCTCTGCTTCCCCCCTTGTTTTGCTTTTCCCTTGGCTTTACCTTGATCCGGACATAGCAGTGGGTGCCCAAGGAGGGGTCATTGAGGCAGCCCGGCGGGTTCTCCCGGATCAGCCACTGGAAGGTCTTGCCTGGCTTGGTGCCCAGGCTCCACAAAAGTTTCAGCAGCTCAATGCAGGCGCAGAGCCCGCAGTAAGTGTACACCAGAGCCCAGAGGAGCAGGGACCCGAGTGTCACCATCAGCCTGTCGGGGATGCGCAGCCCAGGGACGAAGAAGGAGACGGAGGCGAGGAGGAAGGAGGAGGAGAAGAAGAAGAAGGAGAAGCCAAGGCGCTCTCTGGCTGCCTCGCTCGTCCTCCTCCTCCTCCGACACAGCCGAGGCGGGGAGGCGCGATCCCCCCTCCCAGGGACAGCGAGATGGGCTCTGCCAACGCGAGGAAGCAGGCAGGCATCAACAACAGCAGCCGGGAGGACCACACCAGCTGGATTGGGGGGGGGGGGGGGGGGGGTGAGGACAGAGAGAGAGATAGGCAAGCGCCTCTGCCGCACATAAACAGCCAGGCAAGCGAGCGAGCAAGCAGGCCGGGCAAAGAGAGAGGCCAGTGGGTCCATTGGCTTGGAAACCCGCTGCGCCTCCCCATCTTCCCTGGTGCTGAATCAGAATCCAAGGATGCCTCTATACTGGTGAATTGAGGCAGTTTGACCCCACTCTAGCTGCCCTGGCTCAACAATAGGGGATCCTGGGAGCTGGAATTTGGAGAGGCACTACCAGAACTCTTGGGGAGAGAAAGCTCACGACCTTATAAAACTACAACTCCCATGATTCCACACCCATGGCATCTACACTGTAAAATTAACTCAGGTTGACACCACTTTCTCTGCCCTGGTTCAATGCAATGGAACCACGGGTCATTGTGGTTGGAATGGCATGAGTAATCGGAGAGTATCCTTCACTAGTTCACTATTAGACAAATTTAGGGGTGGTGGGATAGACCTATGGCCCATGAAGAGGAATTACTGGAGGCAGGCATGTAGCGGGGGGGGGGGGGGGGGGGCTTCAGCCCCCCCCCCCAAAATTCTCATGGTGGTTCGCGAAAAGGCCTTACTGGTGCATTATTTAAACTGTTATGTTTATTCATATCATGATCTGATCACGATACTCAATATATCCCATATGCATGGGGGTATTGGGGTAATGATACAAAAGGTTTGCTAGGGTAGACCCTCTTTCACTCAGACTCAGCCCCCCCCCCCAAATCGAAATCCTGGCTACGGGCCTGACTGGAGGGTACATCTACAATGTAGAATTAATGCAGTTTGAAACCACTTTAATTGCTTAATGGTATGAAATCCTGGGAGTTGCAGCTTGGCAAGGTATCATCACTCTTTGGCAGAGAAAGCTAAAGGCCTTGTAAAACTACAGCTCCCATGATTCCATAGCATGGCAGGCAAAGTAATATCAAACTTCACTAATTCTACAGTATAGATGTACCTCTAGCCAAAGATCTGGTTTGGATGGTATGCAGGAGGACACATCAATGTCTGGTTTATATAGTGTCTAGTGTTGACTGTGCTTGTTTAGTGAAAAAAACAGGGGTTGGTCTCAAAGCACCGCTTCCAGGGAAAAGTGGCCATTTGATGCAGTCCTGTTCATGCCTGCGGTCTGCTTCTGGTTGTTGGACTGCAGTTCCCTTCAACCCTACCTAGCATAGCCAAGGATAATGGGAATTGCAGTTCAATGCAGTCTGGTGAGTTGCATGTTCCCCACTTCTGGGAAAACTGTTCTATTGTGGAGTGGGGTCACAAAGATCCATTGGTATCCACTGGGTTTGGTTCCAGTATCTTCGTAGACACCAAAATCTGAATACTCAAATCCCATTATATACAACCACACAGAAAGATTGTGTCCATTATATTAAATGACAAAAGCAAAGCTTGCCTTTGGAATTTCATTTTGAATATTTTCAAGCAGGAGTGGTTGGATACGTGAATGCAGAATCCGTGAATAGGGAGGACTACCTGTACTCATTTTTTTTTTTGGAAACTAGAAATAGCTGTCAATGTTGAAACATTTTGTGTTGTCCTTTTATTCTGATTGATTCTTGCTGGAATTCCCCGGGGTTTTTTTTAGTGTTGCTCTTTATTTACAGTCCTGATTTGAGAGTTTTTTAAATACTGGTAGCCAGATTTTGTTCACTTTCATGGTTTCCTCCTCTATTGAAATTGTCCACATGCTTGTAGATTTCAATGAGTTCTCTGTGTAGTCTGACATGGTAGTTGTTAGAGTAGTCCAGCATTTCTGTGTTTCCAAATAATATGCTGTGACCAGGTTGGTTCATCAGGTACTCTGTTATGGCTGACTTTTCAGATTGAATTAGTCTGCAGTGTTTTTCATGTTCCTTGATTCGTGTTTGAACACTATGTTTGGTTGTCCAAACACATATGGAGCAACACTCAAAAAACAGAGGAATTCCAGACAAAAATCAATCAGGGCCAGCTAATACTTCCCAAAAAAGAATCCCCCATGCAGGAAACAGCCAGGCTTTGAAGCTGCAAGGCCATTACATGTTAGCTAAGGTGGCCAATTGCAACATTCACACTTGCCTCAAGCAGACAATAGTTCTTTCTCCCACCCAGAACATTCCACAGATATAGAAACCTCACTTGCCTAGTTTTCAACAGACTTCCCAGCCTCTAAGGATGCCTGCCATAGATGTGGGCAAAATGTCAGGAGAGAATGCCTCTGGAACATGGCTATACAGCCAGAAAAACTCGCAGCAACCCACAATGAATGCAGTTTGACAGCACATGACTGAATGCTATGGAATCCACCTTGAATCCCTATATGGGAGTTACAGCTTTACAAGGTCTTAGCCTTTTCTGTCAAAGAGTGCTGGTATTTTACCAAACTACAACTCTCAGGGTTCCATGCCACTGAGCCATGTCAATTAAAGTGATGCTGAATTGCATTAATTCTACAGTACAATTTCATCCCCTGACGGCAAAGGCTCACGGAATTCCCCTTTTCACAGTTAAGTGTGAAACTAAAATGTGTGTGTGCATCACAATGAAAACTTCTTGCATAGGTGGGATGTACTGAATGATTAACATGTTGTTTTATTTATTTACTTACATAATTTTTTTTCTGCCTTTCTCCTGATATAGGAATTCAAGGTGGATATAGAGGGACTCAAAGCAGCTTAATGATGAATGATTGATATCATTAAGTTAAACCAGGAGTGGAGAGCTTGGGGATTTTTAAAAAAAACATTTTCAAGCTGTGGTTGGTTTTATCCATAGATGCAGAAACTGTGGATACAGAGAGATGTCTGTTCACACTGACTGGGCAGATGTCTAGGGAACGGCCTCAGGCAGAGTATAAGTGTACTAACAAAGCTAATGGAACTTACAATACAACATCTGTGGCCAAGTGTATTTGCCCTTTATTTTATTTAAAGGGCACACATGGAAATAAAAGTATGTCTCCCATCTGTATGTGTGTGTGTGTGTGTGTGTGCGCGCACACACATTCCTTTCCTTCAAATGAGCTCAAGAGAGAGCATTTAATAAATGAAACACATAATTAAATTATATTTTTAATTGTGTTGAATAAATTATTAAATTAAAAATTTCGTTATATTAAATCCATAATTAATTATAACCCATTTAACATTCATAATAACCCTCTGGTACATTAGATGAGCTATCTTAACCCATTAACTCTATGAATAAAGAAAGTGTGTGTCACATGTTATATATAAAGAGCAGTGCAGTTTCTCTGTCTCTATCCTTTTTGTAATGTAAAATGGCCCAGAAGGGCTCCACTCCCAACTCTATAGAGAGGCAGAATAGTTGCCTCCTTTTAGTTCCCATTTAAGTATTGCTATTGCATGCTTTCTTGTTCTCATTTAAGTGTTGTTATTGTATGCCTGCAATGGGTTAAACCCTTGTGCCGGCAGGACTGCTGACCGACAGGTCAACGGTTCCAATCAGGGGAGAGAGGGTTGAGCTTCCTCTGTCAGCTCCAGCTCCCCATGCAGGGATATGAGAGAAGCCTCATGCAAGGATGGTAAAACATCAAACGTCTGTTTGTCCCCTGGGTAACGTCCTTGCAGACAGCCAATTCTCTCACACCAGAAGTGACTTGCAGTTTCTCAAGTCGCTCCTGACATGAAAAAAAAGTAATTTCCAACTTATGGCAACCCTAAAACAATCCTACAATGGGATTTCCCAGGCAAGATTTGTTCTACCTGGGTTTGTCATTGATGCCTTCTGATGCAGAGAGAGTTGATTTGCCCTGCAATTTTTCATGGCTGAAAAGGATTCAAATCCTAGTCTAAGATGCAACTACTCCACATGTTTCAAACTCCAAATCCTGCCCACCGTGTCATTTATATGGTCCCCCGGTGGCAGACTACAACTTCTGTATTCCTCATAATTTGGAATCATGATTACATGATTAGAGTTGATGGTAGTTGTGATACAGTACGATCTGGAAGGCTGCAGTTTATGCTATTTAGCTTGATATTGGGGTTTGAATTTTGACCCAAGGATCGAAATTCTGCCTTTAAAATATCATTTAATCTTTCCCCAATCTCAGAGCTACAAGTGATGTTGGGTTGCAATTACCATTATCCCCTATCAGCATGGCAGATAATAAAAAGTGATTGACGTTTTCATTCAACAACATCTAGGGATCCAAACTGGGTAAAAATGAAAAGGCACTGACCACTATGAAGATACACTCACACATGCACACACATAAAAGCTGTACCCACCATGCATTGCTGTGGCCAATCTTCCCTCCCTCTTTCTCTCCTTTCCCTCCCTCCCTCCTCTTTCTTTTTTCCTCCTCTCCTTCCTTCTTCTCTACCTCTTTCCTTCCTCCCTTTTTTTTCCTTCCCTTTCTCTCCTTTCTTCCTTCTCTACCTCTTTCCTTCTTCCTTCGCTCCCTCTTTCCTTCCTTTCCTTTTTTGATTTCCTTCTCTCCTTCCTTCCTTCTCTACCCCTTTCTTACTTTCTCTTTTCTTCCTCTCCTTTCTTTTCTCTCCTCTTCCTTCCCTTCCTCTTCTCTTTGCTTCCATGCTTCCTTCCTTCCTTCCTTCCTTCTTCCTTCCTTCCTTCTTCTTCCTCCTTCCTCTCCTCCCCTTCCTTCCTTCCTCCTTCCTTCCTTCCTTCCTTCCTTCTTTCTCCCCTTACTTCCCTTTTTTTCTGTATCGTCATTTAGCTTTTCATCATTTAGCTTTTTGGGGGTTTTAAGTCCTTTCCACTGTTTTTTTTTGGGGGGGATTATGAGTGATGGTCACTCATTGGTCTGTTGGGGGTGTAGTGTCCAAATTTTGTGTCATTTCGTCCAGTGGTTTTTGAGTTATGTTAATCCCACAAACAAACATTACATTTTTATTTATATAGATGTGTGTGTGTGTGTGTGTGTGTGTGTATAGTCGGCCCTCTGTATACATGGATTCTCCATCCATGGATTCAACAGCCTTTAGAAGTCAACA